AACTTTGAGTACATCACCATTTTTTTCCCAAACAAAATGCAAATTTAATATACCACTCATTTTCTTATAATTGTTACATGTAAATAGTTATTAGAAATTCAAAGTGTACATATAAGTTATCTTAAATTATTTTCTGAATTACAAAAACCTTAAAATTAAGGCATGCCCTTATTTTTTGAGGTTTGTTTGTCTCTAATTTATTTTGATTTTACGATACTATAGTAAATAAAAAGTGTATTCTTCCTGATATGTCTTTTTCGAATTGTAATTTCAGAAAGACAATAAAAAGAAAATAATTCAAGAAAGAGATCACCACCACTCATCTTCTTAATTCAAGCACATACTATTTTTTCTCTCATATCATATCATATTAAACATTACAAATTGACATTTCATTTCGATATAATAAAATCTTATTTCACGAGTTTTTGGGAGTCCATTTTGTAACAAACTTCCAATTACGTTTGTCCCAACTCTTCCTAATCCCTTTATCTATAACAGACCAATAAATATTTGAATGACCTTTATCTTCCTTAAATGGATCATATGCCTCAATAAGTGCTGTTGAATTAATCCATTCAAGAAAACATATATGAGTATGATGAGTAATATCACCATAAAATGTAAAATTTGAACCTTGTTGTACCAAAGTTTCACTTATTTCAGGTTCTCCACTTTTTAATTTTAAATTAAATATCACAACTGGATTAAGACTATTAGGTATGTCATCAAAAAAATAAACAATAGGTTGATTAGAAACTGAATAAACTGAGAAATGAGACAAAATTAAGGACATAACAAGAACGAGAATCAAGGGAGAGTCGATAGTATTAAAAGTCATTATTTTTCTTAAAATACTTCTGATAAAAAAAACTTTTCGAAATAAATAGAGTCTTTAAAGTTGACCAAATATTATAATTAAAATTTATGTAATTTAATTTGAAAGAATTTGTCCAATTTAAGTCAAATATATCTTAAATTTATAGCAAGAAGATCATATCTTATTAATTACTAGATTTTGCTTCACCTCAATAAATAATATATTTACTTTCTCCATTTCATTTTATTTGACTTTTATATTAAAAATAATTTTCTTAAATTTTATTAGCTTATTTTAGCAAATATCATTAAATATTCAGATTACAATGTTATAATACTATATTTGAATACACCTTGACTTTTACATTAAAAATTATTTTTTCTTAAATTTTATTATCTTATTTTAGCAAATATCATTATATATTCAGATTACTATGTTATAAATTTATAATACTATATTTGAATACACCTCATGTATTTTAAAATCAAACACTTGCACCTCCTATTGTTTATGTGTATATTTCTTACACCTTATATGAGTATCTGAAATATAATTATTCAAAGAAAATTAGAGTTTGTGAATAAAATATTTTTAATGTAATTTCAAAATATTTTCTAACTTTGAGTACATTACTACTTTTGTGCAAACAAAATGCAAATTTAATATACCACTCATTTTCTTATAATTGTTACATATAAATAGTTATTAGAAATTTAAAGTTTACATATGAGTTGTCTTAAATTATTTTCTCAATTACAAAGACGTTAAAATTAAGGCATGCCATTATTTATTTATTTTTAGGTCTATTTGTGTCTGATTTAATGATATTATAGTAAATAAAAAGTGCATTCTTCCTGATGTCTTTTTTGAATTGTAATTTTAGAAAAATAATAAAAAGGATTAAATAGAAAATAAAAGTAACAACACAAGGACTTTAGCCAAAAGCAAAAAATTCTTCGAGAAAGAGACCATCACTCATCCTCTAATTAATATATTCAAACGCGAATTATTTTTTCGCTTATATTACATTAAAAATCACAAATCGAAATTTCATCTGAATATAATAAAATCTTTTTTTACGAGTTGGGGGTCCAATTTGCAACAAATGTCCACTTATGTTTGTCCCAGCTCTTCATAATTCCTTTATCTTGAATAGACCAATAGACAATTGAATGACCTTTATCTTCCTTAAGTGGATCGTATAAATGAATAAATGCTGATGAATGATTCCATTCAACATAACATACATAAATATCATTAATAACCTTAGCCTCAAATGAAAATTGTGTACCATGAATATCCAATTCTCCACTAGATAAATGGGGTCCACTATTTAATTTAATTTCAAATTTCATAACCGGATTAAGATTCTTAGGTATGTCATCAAAAAGAGAAACAATAGGTTTATGTAGATCAGCAACAGAATAAAATGAAAATTGATACAAAATTAAGGACATAACAAGAATGAGAATCAAGGGAGAATTGGTAATATTAGAAGTCATTGCTTTTCTTAAAGTACTTCTGATAGAAAAAACTTTCGAAATAAATAGATTTTAAAAAGTTGACCAAATATTATAATTAAATTCATGTAATTTAATTTGAAAGAATTAGTCCAACGTTAGTCAAATATGTCTTAAATTTATAACAAGAAGATCATATCCTATTAATTACTAGATCAAATTTTCTTAAATTTTATTTGCTTATTTTAGCAATTATCATTAAATAACTTTTACCTCCTAATTTTTTGCTTCTCGAAAAGCATGACTTGAAGACTTTACCCAAATGACTTTTTTCTATCAGATTACTATGTTATAATAGTTAATACTATACTTTGATTAGAGTTAGTTACACTAATCTTTCTTATAATATGACTAAATTTTGAATATTCCTCATGTATTTTTAAATCAAACACTTGCACCTTTTATTATTTATATGTATATTTCTAACACCCCATATGAGGTATATCTGAAATATAATTATTCAAAGATAATTAGAGTTTATGAATAAAATATTTTTAATGTAATTTCATAATTATTTATGAAAAGTAATTTATTTTAATTAAAAAAAACTTTAATTAAATTAAATATTAGTTGAGTTGTCAGTTTTTTACCTTGTGAAAATTCTCTCTCTCTTTTTTTTTTTTTTTTTTTTTTTTTTTATCAGACTGATAACCATTAAACGTTCCCAAAACCATGATCGAATGACCACAATTCATCCACCAAGCTAAATTCATGTCTCCTTAGAACTCAAGGATACAATAGTAGGAGCCTATAAAATATTTATTTAATTTTAATTGTAAATTTCTTATTCAAGGTGAAAGGAAATATTGTCTCAAAAGGATTATAGGAAATTATGTAAAATTTATATATTATAAAATTCAATAATTTATCAAAATGAAAAAAGACTTCATTGGACATAAATCATTAATTGTGATAAAGGTCTTAACGAAATAAATTTCATAAAATGATGACTAAATTATTTTTTTCTTAAGCAAATTAAAGTCACATAATTTTATTTGTCATATGAAATCACAATACTACACTAATGTAATAAAAAAAGTCGCCATGACAAAAATTATAACCTTACGATGCAATAACATATATATTTTTAATTTCATTTGAAATACTAATCATTCAAGACACATTAACGCATCTTATATTTTCACTTATTTTATTGAGAACTCCACTTATAATAATATCAACTTTCACCTATTTTATTAGAAACCCCCACTTATAATAACATCAAACCTTACCAATTAACCAACAAACTTAAAGAAAATAACACATTTATTCTCAAATTCAAAACAAAGTCCATCTTGTGTTGCATACCAATAACAAGTTTGTTCATGACAAAAAACTTCATCTCTTGAATATTGGAACAATTTAAATAAACCATGTTTATTTCCTAAAGCCACTTGACAAAAAACACCATTTTCAGTATCTTCATTTATTGTAACTTTGAAAGGCCAAATTGTTAATGGATTAATTGTTTGTAGCCCATAATATTTTTCATCTGATAAACATTTGATAAACAAAGGTTGATTTGTTCGAGTTTCAATACAAATATTATACGATAATGAAGAGGTAACAAAAATTGAATTGAAAGTTATAATAATAAGAAGAGAGAAAATAGTGAAGGATGTAGAAGAAAAAGCCATTGATTTTTTTTGCTAATGATGTTGTTCTAGTCATAGTTAGGCTAATTTGATGGATATTTATACGTAACATCCAAGATCATCTTTTTAATTAAAAAGTTGACTAATTATTTTTTATTTTTTCTACTATGATGAAAGGATGATTATGCATTTATGCGTTTATGAAATAAGTTGATCCGTTTATTTTATTCTCCATCTGATCCAAAATAAGTGAACGGTTAACATTTTTTCTTGGTTCAAATTAAATGAATTTTTTAAAGTCAAAAAGGATTATTAATTAAATTTTGTTATCAAAAACCTTTTTCTTTAATGGGATTTAAAAGTATTTTTCGATTCTCATTGCTAATTTAAAGAAAATATCGACCAAAAACACAAATACAAAAAAAATATAATTTAAAGTTTTTACCTATATACAAACTTGATATTCTTGCAAAATTATTTTTAGTAAGAACACTTTTTTTTTAAAAAAAAATATTTGTCAAAATAATCTAATTTTAAATATTTAACTTAAATTTTTTAAAAATCACAAGTTTTTTTAAAAGCTAATTCTTCAATTTATCTCATCTAATTACGGCACATAAATCGAAACCCACAAAGTACTCCCCACCCACAAAGGACTCCCCTTCTGCTATGTGACACAATTCTTTTAAGTTTATTTTAAAATGAATGTTATTTTAGTTTAATATTTTTATTTACAATGAAATAATATACAACCCTACAAATTTTAAAAACATATTTCAATTTTATCACTCAAAAAAATTCTTAAATATTACTGTTTATAAAAAATATTAAAAATAAACTGAGACAAAGAAAATAATATTTATGTGGAATAAAATAATTCACTTCGTTATAGAAGAAGTTTTCTTCCATTTTCCTATAAAGTCGTAAAAACCAGACAAGTGTCAACTTCTTTGGCATCCACCAACAAGTTTATATGACAACACATCACCAAAAAAATATATATATAGAAAATAAAAAAAATAACCATTAAAAGCAAATTGCAGAACAAAAAAGAAGAACTTTTTAAAGAAAATGGCTAATTTAAAACTTATAGCCACCATGTCCAATTCCATTATTTCTACTACATATTTTGTCCCTTCAACTCTTTGTATCTCTAGAGCTTTTGTTAGTCCCACTAGACCGAATGAAATTGTAAGTTTTTATTTTCCATATTTTAGTTTATAATCCTATTTTTAAAAATATATATTATAGAAAGTCGTGTTCGAGTCAGTTTACACACATCTAAATTGTTGTATATGAGTAGATGTCATGTATGTACTTTTTCTTTATTACTAATAAATATAACATATCGAGTAATTCTGTTCATTAAAAGTTACTTGTAAAAAAGATCTACAATTTTGGATGATCACTAAACTAATATTATTATCTCAGAAATTTTTTTCCTTTATCCTAGAAAATTGGAATTAAGATGATGTTTTTATAATATAATAACTATTGGTTGAGAAAGTATCAGAAAATTGCTAATGAGTTTGATGGTTAGGGGAAGACACTCTTGGATAATTTAGAGTTTTGCTTTATTCCTAAATATATGTGGTGGATCTACATGGTTGGTTACAAATTCATGTAAATTTAATAATTTTTGTTTTAATTATCGATTTGATTGTGAATTTAGTTATTATTATAGTATTAACTTGATATTGCGTTAAAAAACTGATTAACTTGATAAATTCTGGATCCGTCTATGAATATGTATTATTTTGGTGTTAAAGTGATGGATTTGGTTGTTTTATATTTAAATAAATTTATTTTAGTTTTTTTTTTTTTTGGAAATAAATTAATTAAATATACAGGCAAAAATTGATAAAGAGACAGCCCAAAAGATAAAAGAAGCAGCAGTAGCAGTGAAGGAAGGTGCACAAGAAGTAAAAAGTGTGGGGGATTCTCTCAAGGAAACTATCTCTTCTAGTGCCGGAAATGTAATTTCTCACTTTTACCAAAAAAAATTATAATTGTTTTTATTGTTCTATTAATTTTCTTATTTTGTGACTTTATTTCTTAATCCAAGTAAAAAAATAAATGTGATTAAAGTCTTGGGGATTAATGGACTGGTGGTATGCTCATATGGATTTGAGCGATCATCATGATTAGTTCATGAATTGGCCTTTGTGGTTGAGTTAGGTCATGTGTCATATTTTTACATGCTTTCAAAGTCAAATACACTAAATTAGTTGGGTCTGGGCGTAAATGGAGTGTTAGAGACTTGGAAAGGTTAAAATCTCTCATTGATTAGGGAATGAACGAATGATTTGCTTTATAGGGTTTGAACAATTCTCTCCTCATGAGCCTAGTTTTTGGGTTAGAATTGGGTTCAGGAGCTCTGGATACATGCTTAAGTTGGATCTAGGTGTGAATGAGGAATTAGAATGGTTAGAGTCACATATTGATTGGAAAATAAACGGATAATCTGTTTATATGGATTTGGATAGTTCCCTATTCGTAAGCTAGCTTTTAGATTTGAGTTGGGTTCAGGAGCTCTCGATCCACACTTAATTAGTTGGGTTTGGGCGTAAATGGAGCGTTAGAGTTTCATATTGATCAGGAAATAAACGGATGGTTTGCCATCTGTTTCTATAGATTTGGACAATTCTTTCCTTGTGAATTAACTTTTGAAATTGAATTCGATTTAAGTGTCATGTCTTTACATGCAAACTTTTGATGATTAGGTGATGATATATATAATTTGAACTCTAATTTTTATAGTACTCTTATTATGTATTCCTTCTTTTTTTATGTTTCTCTATTTAATATTTTGATTAGGTAATTTCAGAGATGTCTAAGAGAGTATTAGACAAGGCTACAGAGAAGGAAGAAAAGAGTACATGGGAAACTATCAAGGAAAAAGTCACTGGCAAGTGATTTATATATAATTTTCATCATTTGACTCTCTTGACATCCATTTAATAACTTCTTTTTTACCTATTTAATATTTTCTCAGATTTTAGTTGGTATTGTAGTTCGAATTCGAGACTTTAGATAAAACATAGAAGTGTTTTATTCATCTCATTACGATTCTTGATACAATTAAATTACTATTCTAATCACAGTCGGAATGGGAGAATTGGTTTTTTAGGTTACTAACAAAATTTGTTTTATGGCTTCTTTTTTTACGAGAGATTTTCAATTTTACACAATTTTTTTTTTTGTATTTGGGGAAAAGAATAATTCTTCTACTCATTTTTAGTTATGTTAGTTTGATCCTCGTATTTTGAATCAAAGATAAATCTTTTTAGGACAGAGAGAATACATTGTCATTAATATCTAATAAGATAAGATTATTATTACATGTCAAGCAATTGAAACCTAAATAACAAAAGGGAAATTAGGGTTCGAGTCCGTGGCGATGCACGGACAACATGCCCTAATTTCTTTTGTACAAGGAGACACTAACATTTACGAACATAATTTTTTCTTTCGCCCTGCAATCGTTGACAAATATTTCGTTGTACTTGTGAAACACTTGATCCATATTCAATTCATCATGACCAAAATGGCTAACAAGCAAAGGTTCAGCCACAGATCTAAAACTTTGTACCATATTATATTTCTCATCATCACAAGAATTTCTATGAATTTTTGAAGTTTTCAAGATGTCAATGGTGAAAGATCCCTCCTTTTCAACTATATACATCACTTCTTTTGGAGATGGATTGTATAAAGGAATATTGAATGAATCCACTTTCTTTTCATCTATTGATCCCTGTATTTATTAGTATGAACATTAAACTATATATACTACAGTGTAAGAAGGTAAAAAATATAATTATAAAAAACTCTCAATAGTAAATGAAAGAGAGAAGGGCAAATATACTTCTAAACTTTTTGACTTAGAGTGGATATATACCCCTCATTAAAAATGAGCGCATACAAGTAAAAGATAAATATACATCATTTGTTAGATAATGCGGATATATCCATCACTTTTTTAACGAGCAGTATATTCGCTCTAAATCTCAAAGTCGAAGAACATACTCGTATTTTTACCCTTTATAATTGAACAGTATTTTAAAACTTTTTTTTTCTTTTTTCCCTTTGAATACTTTTTTTTTTTAATCTATCAATTTTACATCATGAGAATGTCTTGTTGAATACTTATTATATAGGAGTAAAAAAATAAAAAATTACACTTAATAATCTTAATTAGAAATAAATGATGTTGAACTTTCAACTCCCAACTCCTCGCTAAATTAAATTTTCAAGATCAAAAATCAAATGTGTAATTTACCTGTGCGATAAAAAATTTAAGGGTCATGGCCAAAAGTTCCCACTCGTAGGAACATCCTTTACTATAGCGATCTTCGTTTTCTCTCCCCAACATAGTCAATACCATACGTCCATTTTTCACCAATTCTTTCGATCGATATGTTAAAAATGTTACAAAATCTCTTTCATATTGTTCGTAATAACCTTTAACCACATTTGGTGGGCTTGTACTTGTTAGGTATATATTTCCCTTGTTATTCTCTATTCCATCGGGAACCTATATACATGAATTAATAATTAACAAAAAAAATTAATTGATCGAACATATATATAATATAAGCATAATATATAAATATGTCCTTTAACTATGTTTCAACTAGTATATACGTCCTCCAATTTTGGATATATACAAATAGACACTTAAACTTGTATGATGTTTTAACAAATAGACACACATTTCCTGTGTGACATAATACATTAGGACGCCACATAAGATGTGTGTATCTGTTTGTTCAAGTTTACTTAATTGCCTACTTGTGTATACACAACCAAAGTTGGAGGACATATATAGATATCAACTGAAGTCAAATTAAATAACGTATTTATGTATTATGCGTATAATATATAACATGTAAAACCACATTAGTACTAGTTAGAGATTCACTACTAAAAAACTGCTAAAAAACGACGGAAGAAAAAGCGACGGACAGCGTTGCTCCAGAAAAGCGACGGACTAAGAGAAGCCGTCCGTCGCTTTTTAATTAAAATAATTATTTTTAAAATTATTTTATAAAAAGCGACGGACTGCATCTCTTAGTCCGTCGCTTTTTATTAAAAATAATTATTTAT